ACTGCTGGCCCCCTGTTTTATGCTCTCTGTTCTATCTCATTCCTGGCTGTTTGTCTCATTATTAATAATTATAAAATTATTCCATTCTTTGGGACCCTCGGTCTGCAATAAAGGCCTTTTATACTAAAATAGACATTGTAACCAAATGGCACGTACTTGAATTGATCGCACTTTATGGTCTGTGAATAAGAATTAACTCCAAATAAAGTCTTAGAATGTGTCTATAGGAGTTACAGATATAAGTGGATACTCAGAAAGAGAAGGTAAGAGAATATAGACCAGAAAACAGGGAATGGGATACTGGTTTTCTTTTACTTTCTGTGTCTATAGATTTTGAAGTTTAGTGAAATGTTTACTTAATTTAGTGGGAACCATACAGATTTCCAGGTTTTAGTAGACACAGTGCAGTAATAAAGAGATTTTTGAGGTTGAAGGTATAATGATTTATGTATTTTCTTTTTACATTCAGATGATGGAACACCTGTATCCCCTGACACTGGAGACATGTCTCCTGAAGGGCCACAGCCTCCAATAACCCTCTTGCAGCAGTTGCTGGTATCAGCCACGCAGCCATCTCCAGTAAAGGCCATATTTGATAAACAGGAACTGGAGGTACAGATGGTTTTTATCCCAACTTATTTGAACGTTAACATTTTTTTTCTAGAATTACATTCTGGAATTAGTGAGAGGGAAGACAAATTCCTCACCCTTAAGCTGCTAGAGGAACAATCAGGAAAAAAAGAAGGAAAAGATATGAAAAACAACAACAACAACATGGAGTTAAGTAGAATATCACCATGAGTAATATCTTAGATGTGTTTGAAATTCCAAAGAAAGAAGGAGCCAAAAAGAGCATAGAGAAAAATCACTGAAGATTTCTGGTATAATACTTCCCAAACGTTATGAGATATGAGAAAATACACATTCAAGAGGATGAATGAACCTTAAATAGCATCGACCTCTTTCAATGAAACACAAAGACGTGTCATAATCAAATTTTCCAAAATCAAAGAGAAATAATGCTAAAGTAGCTGGGGAGAAACAGCGTTTCTATAAAAGAAGAAACTGGACTCTGATTTTGGCAGAAACCATAAATAGGCAATGGAATGATACATATAAAAAAACCCTGAAAGTAGCCAGTTGCCAACCAATAATTATTTATCTGGCAAATTGTTACAAAGACATGACAGAGAAATAAGGACATTTTTCAGAGAAGTAGAAATTAAGAGAATTCATGAAAATTGGACCAAATTTATAACAAATACTAAAGGGGGTTCTTAGCACGAGAATCAGTGTCTGTAGGCATCAACCAGAAATAAACATGACACCACCAGTCAGAAACTTCCGCAGACACAGAAGTATACAAAGTAAACTCATGAGACCAAAGAAAGGATACCAGAAATAGCAGTTTCTAAATGCATCTGAATACAGAGTAGTAAGAGGCAATATGCAGTGTTGTTACACAACTTGCAAATGAATAAGACGTTGAGCTGATTTCAATATAAATGGAACTGTTTAGCCTGAGGAATAAATTGGTGAAGAGTAGCCTCAACGAAAATGAGTTAACTTTATTATCTAAATTTAAAAAAGAGGAAAATAGTAGTACTAGTAAATACTGAACAAAGAGTAATGTAGGAAATGATAGTAAAAGCCATAAAGTAACTTAAAACTGGATATGAAATGAACTGAGAAGACGGGCAGAAGCACAGCAATGAAAAGCATTCCTGTGAATAATGATGTTGAACAGGAATGGAGAAAGTGCACCCAAGTGATAGAGAGTGACTGAATTCACTAGAAGACAGTCATCCATACACTTTTTGTAAGATAAGCAGCTTAGACACAATGACAAAATGATATTAAAAACCGAAGGGTAAAACAAAATATATCAAGATAATGTCAGTAATAAAACCTCCAAGTGTGACAGTATTAACCCTTGAGACAAGAAACTTCAAGGGGAAAGTCAGCATTGAAACCTGGAAGTATATACTGATTAAAGGGTCAGATGAACAAGAACATAGCTAAAATCAATATCTACACACCTAGTTCTAGAATTGCAGGATATACAAATCAGACTTTGACAGAGTTGAAGAGAAACATAGACAACTCCATAGTATTAATAGGAGACTTCACCACTTGGCATGAAGGACAGAATGACTACAGTCCCAACAAAGATGCAGAAGTTATTAAAAAAATACAATTAACTTCTTTGAAATCATAGACATTTATAGACCACTACAACAAACAATACCACAGTGCCCATTCTTCCGCATAGCAACCTGGAACCGTCTCCAAAATAGGTCATCTGTTAGGGCACAAAGCAAACCTCAGTAAAATTAAAAAACCATTGAAATATTACTAAGCATCTTCTTAGTAACATTGCTATAAAATGAGAAATCAACAGCAGAGAGTGATCAAAGAATAAACACCAAATGCATGAAATAACACCCTGCTTGAACATTATTGGATAATAGAAATAAAGAGAGAAATTTTAAAATTTCATTAAGCAGATGAGAACGAAAACACAGCATACCTGAGTCTTTATAACACAGTTAAAGCCGTACTCAGACATCAATTTAAAGAATCAGAATCAACAACTTAATCAGTTAGAACCCAACATTTTCAACAGTTGGAAAAAAGAGCATCAAGGAAACTCTGATGCCTCTATTTGTTGTTTTTATGTGTCATGGAGACTCCTGCAACTCATAGAGACCCTTTATACAACAGCCCTAAACCTTACCCCATTACCCCAATCACTGAATCAATCCATCTCATCAAGGGTCTTCCTCTCCAGCGCTGTCCCTCCACCCTCCCAAGCATGACGTCCCTAGAAGAAATAAAATAATAAACAACAGCAGAAATAGATGCAGCAGAAAACAGCAAAGCAATAGAAAAACTACACAAGATTAGACTTTCGTTCCTTGAAAGGATTAATAAAATTTGTAAGCCAGTCAGTAAAACTTAACAAATGAAAAGAAAAGTAAGAAATGAAACAGGCCACATCATAAGAAATGAGGCATCCTAAATAGAATATTGACTGAATACTAAGAAGAGGAATACTCGGAAAAATTTGGAAATCTAGAAGAAATGGACACATTTTTAGAAACTCTCTACCTAAGTTAACACAGAGACAGAAAATTTAGAGTTTCAGCACAAGGTATTGTATAGATTATAAAAATATTCCTAATCACAAAAAAGGTTTGGGGTCAACTGGCTTCACTGTTGAATTCTACCAAATGGTCAGAGAAGACAAGACTCTAATTCTGCTTAAACTGTTTCAGAATATAGACAAAGATGGAATACTCTCAAATGCATTCTATTAAGCCATTCTCACACCAGAACCAGGCAAAGCCCATGAAAATTGTTCAACACATAATTATTCCTTATGAACAGGATTGCATAATCCCCTACAAAATACTAGGTCTTAGCTTGCAATGTTATGTGAGATGTTAATCCTTTGTAATACATTAAAAAACATAACATCATGATAAAATAAGTATCATAATACATATGTAAGGATGGTTCAACATGATATAAAGATGATCAAAGAAAGAAATTAAGTCAAATTTAGGAGACGTAGATACAGCATAATTAGAATAAAACAAAAAAAATGTACTAGCGAAGGATAAACTATATGAATGAAACCGTCTAAAAATTAAATCCTTTATGACTGGAAACCCTAACTCTCTCTAAACTTTCATTAAAATTAAAAAAAAAAAAATTAAATCCTTATAATTCCAGTTGGGGAGTATTCTGAAGCAGCCTGACTCTACATTCTTCTGAGTAGTATAGCACTGGTCTGTCCATTTGCTATACAAAGGTAATTTGTGGTTGCTGTGATGCTAAACACTGTGACACTGATGTGTCAGATGCGATATTGGTTACCCATGGTGGACAGTGTTTGGTGGAGTTCCCTAATTAAAACAAGCTTAGAAGCAGTAGTGGCATCCACTTCTGAAATAGCTTACCTCTGGAAAATGTATGAACTTGAAGAAATGCTAAAAGTTACACAAATGTTCAGGTCTTTGATTCATAGAGTTGCTATGGGTCCTCTTCGACTCGATGACACTTAACAACAACAACATATATATCACTAAATTTCTCAAAAAATGTTAAATAGGAGAACCTACAGACTAGGAAAAATAGTCTGATGATGATCTCATCTCTGAAATGTATTGAAAACTCTCTATCACCTTAAATCTAAAAAAGACAACCTAATTATAAAATGGGCAGAGGATATGAAAAGACATTTCACTAAAGAAAATACTCAGACGATAAACAAGTACATAAAGAAATGCTTAGGTTAGTTGGTGTTCACGTTTTCATTGCTCTTGAGTTGATACTAATAGCTGACCCTCCAGCAGATTTCCAAATTATACATTGAAGGGAGGAGTTTGCACATCTTTCTCCCCGCCAAAATTGTGGATTCATATTGCCAGAGAGTCAAAGCCTTCGGATCAATAGCAAAGCTCCCCACGGACTGTGCAATATAGAACAGTCTCATTAAGTGTTAGAGAGATGCCTACCAAAACAGTAGTAATGTGTTATCCTTTCAGACCAGCAACTGTAGTGTAATTCATGAAGACAGTAAACAGTGATGGAGATCTAGAAATGATAATGTTTTGTGCCTTTAAGTCTGAACCAACTAATAGTTGACCATCAAGTGGATTTTTAAAATCTATACATCACTTGGGGGAAGATTTCCCATCTTTCTCTGATGGAGCAGCTGTTGGATTTGAACTGCCTGCTTTTGGATTATAAATGCAACTTCTTATCCACGAGGCCACTAGAGCTATATGGAGAGGCATGTATATTCTCAGTGGAGAATTGAAATTGTGTAACCCCTATGCAAAGCAGTTTCTTAAAAAGCAGTGTTTCTTAAAAAGATGAAAATGAAAATAACATTTGATCAAGCTATTGGTGGTTATTGTTTGCTGTTGAGTTAGAACAAGACATAACTGACCTTTGAACAGGTATTGAGAGGTAAATCGCAGGAAGAGATTGCCCATCCTTCTCCCATGGAGCATGTAGTGGATTTGAACTTCATGCCTCTGAGATTGCATCAAAGCTTTTTACCACGAGCCTAGCAAAGTGTGCATCCTGAAGAAATAAGAGCTGCAACATGAACAGACATAAACCCATTATCTTTATTTCACCATTGTTCATTTTGGCAAAGAGACGGAAATAACACAGTGGCATAATATGTTATATTGAAAAACAATGAAGAATTCATTAAATAACTACATAATATGAATGAACCTAGAGAATATTATATGTAGTGAAATAAATTCAGCCACAACAGGACAGTTATTGTGTAAGGCCGTTATTAGAAAAAAGGCCATTATTAGAAAAAAGCTAAGGACAGGTTTATACACAGAATTATTCTAGTATGGCTACAAGAAAGTGAGGAAGGAAGATGAGAGTGAAAAACTTATTAAGTAATTATTAAGATGGATGAAGGGAAATTGTTTAGAACAGATGGATGATCAGAGCATTGTGGGTTTTATATCAAATGTGTATGATTGATTAAAAAAACAGTATACTTGTAAACTTTGACTCAAATCACAATAAAAATATTTTAATGAAGTGTAAGCAGTAGTCATGAGGACTTTTAT